TCTCCGCGGTGGCGAAGCGCGCCGCGGAGATGGCGGCCCACGTCTACGGGTGCCGCATCATCCAGAGGCGAGCGATCCGGACCGCGCAGGTCCGGAGGTCCGAAGCTTCAAGGGCTTGGTGACTCTTCCAAGGGTGGCGGCCCTTACCAGGGTAGCCGTAGTGGAAGCAAAGAAAGCCCATGCTGAAACCAGAAGAAAAAGCAAGGGGCCCGGTTACCCTCCCCCAAGGGTACTTTTGAGGACGCCAAACCAGCCACAAGATCCGGAAGTGCGAAAATCAATTGCCACAATAGAGGGCACTTTTCTCCAAGTGGGTTCTAACTATACCATGTCGAGGGTAGCCGTAGTGGAAGCAAAGAAAACCCATGCTGCTTTTGAGGGCCAGCCACAAGATCCCGAATTGCCACAGTAGAGGGCACTTTTCTCCAAGTGGGGTCTAACTATACCATGTCGAGGGTAGCCGTAAGAGTGGAAGCAAAGAAAACCCATGCTGAAACCAGAAGAAAAAGCATCAAGGGGCCCTGAAAGTCCAGCGACCCTCTTCAAAGGGTGGCTCAATCTTCAAGAGGAAAACCACACTGCCTGAAGAAAAGTTCCACGTTTCGATGCGCGTCCCTTCATATCACTTCGTAATACCAACAATTTTGCGACCTCAAAAAGGGTTGTTGTGAGGTCCAACATCATCAGTGGAGACCCCTCAACCCATAATGCTTGGGGCAATATCTGGGGTGGACCTTCCGCAAAGTCGAAGGTCAACCTTTTGGAGCCACTCAAGATGGACCAAAGGTCAAAAGGTCGATTCGCTTTGAGCAAGTGAGCATATGGCAGCCATTCGTCGCCCCTGATCCTTGGCCCACACCTGGGGCACTTCAGACTCTTTCCATATCAATCCCCGATGGCTGTGTCCTTTTCAAGGCTGGACCTCCAAAATATGCAGGTGTTCCTTTTGCTTGCCCTCCAAAACCACCCCAACAAGCCTGGGCAGGGGACCCTTATGGGGGCATGTTGGCCGAGGCACGGGCCCCCTTCTTTGGGCGATCAGCTCGTTGTCTTTTCTATTTTGCGGTAGGCTCCTCATGGCTGGCCACTAATGTGAACATACGGTTAATAACCCCCCCCTTAAAGACCCCCCCGGAACTGCCAGCCAATGAATCCATGGCACCCACCAGAAACGCGTGTCGCTGCAAAAGCTATTGCAACTCTTTCTGCACTACCAATTCTTGGCATGGTCTGAACGGTTACTTTTCCAAGGCTGACAACCACGCATAAGAAATTTCATGCTTCATATTCTTCAAACAATCAGGGCTTGACAAGCTCATAAAGGGACCCCCCCCCTTCAAGCCCTGCCCCCTAAAATGCAACCCCAGATTCATCATGGCACCCTGCAGCCCTGGGCGAAACCCGCAGTTCCTATGGCTGCCCTATTGGCCGGACAAGGGGGGGCCATAGGTGCAAGACTGAAGGGGGGCCCAGGCGGACGGTCCGACATCCGGTTGTCCTGGACCTAGTCCTGGACTCCTGGACCCCCCGAACCGAATCGACTTGAAGCCTGCCCAGCGAACCTTAAACTCACGCAACGTCCATCGCAACCAAAAATCAGACTTACCTGGTTGTATGTCACTGGTCGCTACCTAGCCAGCCCATTTTTGACCGTTCCAATGGGAAGCAGGTGGATTAAAGCATGGGTAACCTTGTTGGTTGTCCAGACCCTTAAGATGAATATGACATCTGCAGTCTGTCTTGTGCAAGGGCTTCGATATTGCCAAAGTCGCGGCTCGTTTCGGCAAGCCAGGCGCTCTCCTGTCATCCTATGTTGCGGGGGGTTAAAGACGGCACGGTGCGCGGGGCTTTGGGACTAGGCAACCCAACTCGTTGAAGGAGTTCCACTGCCACGACTCGCCTCTGCCAACCGTCCCAACCCCTTTCCAAAAGGAAACCAACAAGATCGATTCTTTTTTGCACTTTTCCCCTGGATCCCCCATCTAAAGACGGCACAAGACTTCCCCAGAATTAGCTCCCCCCTTTTTTTTGAGCTCCCCTTTGTTTTCCGCCAACCAGGCAAAAAAGAAGATAATGCTTTGCCACATTTCCGATTTTTGGCCACTTTTTCCCCTGCCCCTGTTGACACCCGCGGGCGGCACACGAGACGCAACTTCTGCCCGCAAGGCTCCTGGAACACTGCGCGCCCGATCAGCTGGGCGGAGTGCTGGATCCCATCGTCCAGAGCGCGGGGAAGCTGTCCAAGGACCTCCGAGATCCTCCGAGCCTCTGTTGAGCCCTGCTTTGACTAGGTTCCCTGGGACTATCAACTCCCCTGGAAGCCCCCCTAGGGGAATTTTATATGTGTTGTTTTCCCCTGTTGATTCAAGGGAATGTATCACTTCCGGCAATAGATTGGTTTTTCGCCAGGGACGTACTTGCAAATGGAAGCTAGGTCCCACAGCTAGGTGCCCTTTTACCGTTTCTTTTTTGGTTGGGAGGGTTCCCCTACTAAAAGAAAAAGGGTACCTAGTTAAGGTTACCTTTCCCTACGCAAATTAGGAAAACACATTCGATTCAAGCGTGCCCAATTGACGCGGGTCCGGCATTGCAGCTTGGCGGAACGGCACTCTCGCACATGGCCTTCACTTCGACTGGGAAGCCAAACGGGCCCTTTTCAGCCGCCCTGATAATCCCTGGAAGGCCACTATGGAGTGTCTTCCTTGAATCATGGGGAGAGTCTCAGTTCGCGAGTTACATCTTACTTTTTGGGCGGAGTTTCGTGGCAAGCCGAAAGTTCCCACTTTCCTTGGCCCGTCCGAAAATTCCAGTTTCCCCCAGAATCTTCGGTGCCCAGAAAAGATCCAAGTTTCTCTTTCATGCTCGTTTGTGGTTTCTTTGTTTGAGGTCTCTTCCCAAAAGTTGCAGAATCCCTGCACAAAGCAACCCATAGGTGTCGCTTCCTGAGTGCCTGGACTCTGAACACTTTTTTGGGTTGGACCATTGGGGTGCTAAGTAAGCTCGGGCTTTTTTGCGGCCAATCCACTGGATCGGAAGTGAGGCGTTGGATCGTTGAGTCGCGCCTCGCCCTCCGCAGCCTGGGCTCGGCGCGCGAGCGCGCGCGCCCAAAACGCGCGCGCGCGAGCGAGCGATCCAGCGATGCAGTCCACCCAGGCGGTGCTGCGCCTCGCCGGGGGCGCGGCCTCGGCGCTGCTGGTGCTGTCGGCGTCGCTGGGGCTGAAAAAGTTTCCGCTGGACGTGTTTTTTTTTTGGTTTTTTGGGGGGGGGCATGTGCTTTCTTTGGTGTGTGTGTGTGTGTGTGTGTGTGTGTGTGTGAGGGTACTGCTATTTTTTGCTTGGGGGGGTGTCTTCAATAGGAAGCCAACCCTTTTTGGGGGTCCCACTTTTCTGAGACGCGCACAAATGGTTGGAAGAACCAGTAAGCACCAGTAAACCAAAACTTTGTAAACGTTCTAAACTGAGCGTGGTAAGCTTGGTAGAAGCCCCAGGCCTGTAAACCCAGTGAATGACTAGCCAGTACTTCTGGTTATCGCCTTTGGCCAAACGAAACGGGACCCTGTGTGAATCCTTACACCCGGGCCGTTTGCCACCTCTCTGGGGCTTGGGCCTAAATCCGCGCAGCGGACAAGTGGACACCGCAGCGGCGATTTGACCCAAAAAGCCGATGTTTGACCCTCATGGTACAAGCTGAGCGGGGCTCCAGGATAAATTCGGGAATGCTAGAGACTTGTGCAGGTTCAACTTGCTGGTGCGATAGGTAGGGAATGAGAAAGGGAATGAACCTGGGCTTTGGTCCCCTTAAAGGAAACCACCCGTTGGATGGTTTCTTGTTGGGTCATTCCCTTTCTCATTCCCCACCTGTCGCACCAGCAAAGTCAATCAGGTCCGGAGGGGGTTGTCAGTGAGGTGCTTCTACTTCTGCATCGACCTGCTGCCCCAGGCGGGGGAATGAGTTGGGGAAGTTGTTTGCTCTTCTTCGCGGATAGGTCGTGGACACCCACATGGCAGTGGGGCAAAAAATGGCACTCAACATGACGGGCACCTTGGCAAGTGGAACCAAAGACTCAAACCTGCGAAATTTCAGTTGTTTTATTTTGAGCCGCCCAAATGTAGAATCGGATGGTCTAAATAGCTTTCATGTGAATCTGTAGGAATATGCGGGAAGCCCCGCCCATCTTTGTCTGCTTCGCGCAGTCGGGGCAAAACAAGCGAGCCTGACGGTCCCTTCAAAGATCTACATGAATTCAGGTTGCTCAGAGGCCGTCCAGGCCCACCCAAGGGGCCTTGTTTTTAAAGGGGGGCCAAAAGGAAAACCACACGGACTCAGAGACTCACACGAGACCCAGATAAAGGCGGCTGGGAGGGGAGCTGCCCGCAGGTGGGTTCAGGCATTGAACATCCTTTCAGTGACCAGGCCATTCATTCAAGGGCTTTCTGGAGACTTGGGATACATTTTACGTTTTACCAGTGACTCCAAGCGAAGCAAGCAACACAAATACACACACTATATATATATATATATATAGGTAGGCCTAACTCTAATCATGGGGCATTTTCGGTGGATTCTGGAGGTAAGGCTTCTGCAGATTTGCAAAAGCTGGTAAGGCACATGGCCCCTAGACACTTTTTTTTTCTTGTTTTTTCTTTCTTGTCTTTACCTCCAGAACCCACAGTCCCCTACAAAACTTTCACATGGAAGCCAAGAAGGGGATCCATTTCCTACCAGGCGTTTCCTCTCGAAAAATCTTCGCTGGCGGTTTTTAGCTTCCTTCCGATGCGGGGGGGCGTCTCGTATGCCGTTGTGGCAAACCCCATGGCAGAAATCCCCAGCCTTGAAGCATGGGAGGCGTGGCAGAGATCCGCTGAGCCGCGCCAAATCCGCGTCCGGCAGGTGGCGAAGGGGAGCCTGCTGCGTGCCATGCACTTCTCCGCGGAGTGCACTCTGCTGGGGGGCGGCGGCGTGTGTGCCCTGGCCGACGTTCTCAGGTTTCTCCCCACTTCTGTGATACAAGGGAATCTCCCTTTATAAGAACAAAATAGTCTTTGGGAAGCCGTTTCTGTTGTATCGCAGAAGTGGGTTCCATTCCCCACAACCCTGCCTCATTCTCTTCACTCGTTCTCTTTGGGCGCCTGACTTCCAGGGCTTGAAATGTTTTTTAGAAGAGAAGGATCCCTGAAGGGAACGGGGAGAGCGAGACAAGTTCGGAAGGACAGTGCCCCTTCGGAGACGTGGCCCACGCCTGTTTCCTGGGAACCTTTGGAGTGAGCCAAAACACATCCCTTGGAGGAAATAAGAAAAACATCGTGTGGTGCTAATTTGCTTGGTCTTATTTAGGGTCTTTTGGATATTAATGAGTTGAAGGTCCACCACAGGCTTCCGTTGTCTGGGTGTGGCGTTCTAGGTGTGCAGGTCAGGCCCTTGTGTGTTGGTTTCAAATCCCTTGCGATCCCTTGGGTCTATCTGGGGCCACCGCCGGGCCTTTTCCGACTTCGGGTATTAAGCCAATCGAACTTGCCACCGGCTACTGGAGTTTGGCAACAAACTTCTTTCAATTGTAGGGTCCCAATATTCCCCCGCTTGGTGGTTTTGAACGTCACATTTTTTGCCAGATCATAGGTGGGCGTTTCAAGTGAACATAGTCCAGTGCTTCCAGTCACCACTATGGTAGGTAACCAGAGGAAACCATCATGTAGAACCTGGGCTGAAGAAGCCTTACCTACTGCAGTGGCAAATGGAAGAATTGGGTAAGAAACCCTCTAGATACCTGGTTTTCCGACCTTCACCCCTCAGACCTTTGGAATCTTTTGGAAGCACCTGGCTTTTCCATTCCTACAAAAGCCATAGGCCACGAGTGGGTACCCATGTGCCATGGGTACCAGGTTTGCCACTTGGAACCCAGCCAGCCGCCGCCAGCCAGCCACTCGCCGGCTCGCGCGTCCACGCGCGCAAGCGCCAGGCGGGGTCTTGGCGGAGATCCGGCCGCACCCCGCGGTGTCGGAGAACTTCCCGTACCTTACCCGGCTCAGCGGGCGCAGCATCTTCTACGCCTTCTTCGGGATGTTCGTGATAGGGAGAAGGGAGCCTTGGGAGATTTCGGATTTTTTTTTTGGGGGGGAAGGCGGATTTCAGGGAGGGGAGGGAAACAGAAGTAAAACGCTAATGGCAGGGGAGAAACGACGAAGGTACGGGGCACAGGTTTTGGCTTTGTGTTTCCCGATTTGGAGGCCCATTGGCAAGGGATCACGCAACTTTTGGCCCTATGGCTTGCACAGGTCCTTAACCAGTGGCTAGGCTTGCCAGTTCATGTTCCTGCGGTTGAGACCACGGTGTTTCCTTGATTTGATCGGCACAGGGAGGCTTCATCCTTTGTTCTGGGTGCGAGGGGCTACGATGGCGCTTTGCACAGGTGAAGCAGCAACACACAAAACACCGACGTAAACAGTGAACCTGACCTTTGCCATCCTTTGCCACAGCAGCAACCACGTGTTGCTGTTTTTCTCAATATATCTTCGTGTTTGGTTTGGTGGAGGGGGGTGGGAGCCTTTTCCGCTGGCAATCTCCTTTTTCCCTTCATTTTTGGTTTGGGTTTTTGGTTTGCCTTTTCCGGGGGACGCCTTGTCTGGAACCGGGGCCTTTTGGCGCGGGGGGCGTCGTTTTTTCCGCGGAGGAGCAGGTCTCCTGGCGGACCGGCTTCGATACTCTGGTGGGCGTGGTGTGCCTTGCAGCGGCCCAGTTGCATCGCAGACCGCGGTGTAACTCCACAGAACTTGGGGTTCGGTGGGAGGCTCTTTTTTCTTCTCTTCTTTTTTCGGAGGCTCGGTGTCCGTCCCTGTTTTTTTTTGGAGGTTAAATGGAAATCGAAAGGAACGCCTTTTGTGGGATTAAATGGAAACTCGAGGGAAACCACCAGGTTGTCTTGGTGCAGGGGTCCTCCATTTCCCTTTTTGGAGCCAAACGTGGCGATTCTTTTCCATGGAAACCAGCAAGTTGCAACCTAAGGGGAAATCCAGTGACCCTGTGGGATAGATGTTGAACACGTTTCTCTTCTAATCCGGTCCGGGCCGTGCTACTCAGGGGTGGTTTTCTCCTTCCTGGGTCGGATTGATCCGAAGTTTGCATATTATCCACCAAAGAGGGCGACAAGTCTCCTTGTTGCCCTTTTTGCCGAGACAAAAAGGTCAGGTCAGTTGCGCTTTTCTTTCAGACACTGTGACCTGTATCTAGGTATGTGTTAGCGGCAGCGA